ACACACATCTTTAACTTTGCTATAAAATTTCATTTAAGGAGAAAAACATAAAACTATACCCAACTTCATCAACAGCATAATAGTGATGAAAAAAAATTTAACATCAAAATTGCAAACTCAAAATTCATGTTGTCACTGTTTGGTGTACAGCATATTTATCTCCAGGAATAGACATTAGGTTGAAGTTCATATTGCCCATACTCAAACTTTGACATGTCTGAATGTAAAATTGTCTGGAATTTAAAAGGATGACAGAACTCTGCTTATCATTTTGATATGTATTTCAATTGGAACTTTGAGAAGATTAACATCATTGCTCATTCTAAACATGTCATTTATTATGATCTGTCTATTTCTGATCCAGAACTTCATTTTTTTTTCTTGGTTTGGAATTTGTTTATCACAATTCTTTTAACAAACATAACTGAGAAATTAAGCACTAAAAAAAAAGAAAAAAAAAAAAAAAAAAAAGAGATAAACATAAGTTGCATGCAAATTTAAATTTGGTCTAATGTATTCTATAAGTAAGCAAATAACTCCATCTTCATTAGGGTGTATGAATTGTACTAAGATGACAAAAGTCATGAGACAAATGTTTATTTGTAACAAAGAAGACAGAAAATAGATAGAGCATTTACTGAATACTGATACTGGATGACTCATGTAGAAGTGATAGCAAGGGATTTCAGACATACATGTATATCCATAACAGAAGTTGTTAAAATTTGTACAAATCACATACCTGTATATGAATTATAACAGACTTACTCACTTACTCAGAAAAACATTCCTATTACTTTTACTTGCTTGGGCAATCAATTTACCATTAATGTCTATTCCTTCCTCGTTAACTGAAATAAGTCTCAAAGAGAGGTATAAAAACTCCACCAATTTAATATAATTGGACATCAATAAGAACTCAAAGTTGAAAGAAGGAAACAATACAAATACAAGAAATATTCCGTCACGTCTACCTTCCATGGATATCTGAGTACAAGAAAGAACTCCTCTTTCTCTTCTGAAATAATTTATTCACATCAGATTTTTATTCAGATGTCACAAGTGCTGAACTTCATCATTTCAATAATGGTTCAAAGATTTCAAATTTCTCTCCCTTTGTAATGTTTGATGTGCCTCTCCTATGTTGTAGTTATTAATAAGAACAAACAGTAAATCATCTATTTTCAACTGATCATAACACATATGCCCAATCTGCAGCTCGTTTTACTGTTTTATGAAAGTGAACAAGTACTGCCTAATAAAACCTGAAAATACTAATCATTTATGTTTATGATGTCATCGACAACACATTCCCATCTGTTACTTCATTATTCAGATATTAAAAGGAAAAAGAATGGGGAAAAAATTGCAATATCAAATTAACTTTTATTACTTGTTATGATATTATCTTTAAAGAGAATAGTCATGTATGACCAACAAGGATTATTCATTTTAATTTGACAAATGCTAAGAACTGCAATTTTAATTCCTTTTCATAATACCCAAGAAGTATGGATAACTCCTGCTTAATTGGAGATACTCCTACCAAAATAATTAAGGCAGCATCCTTCCATAACTCATTAGTTTTTAACACAACAGAAGCAATTATCATCTCTTATCAAATATCTAAATGAACTTGAAGAAAATCAATGAATTAGATTATCATTACTCTGTCTCATGAAACAAATGGAATCCTACTCTATCTGTTGTTTGATGACTACCTAGGTCTAAGCATACATGTTCTTACAATATTACTGCATATTAAAGTCATTGTTCAAAACAATTGTTTTCAAAAGGAGTCTGGGTCAGAATAATTTTCCAGTTACATGAGCCAGACAGGGTTTTGCCATATCTTCTAAATTAACGGTCACAGTGACCTAACCTTTGAACTTGACACAACTGTCAAAGTATTATGGATCCTGGCCTCTGTAATGAAGTAAGGATCAGTCCATGAAAAAATTAACAGAGAAACAGATGATCCCATGATCCCCATACCATGATAATCCAGTCATAAGCGGCATATATACCGGGTATAAGCATTCAATTGATGTTTTCCAAAATATGTAAATAAAGAAAAAGTATATACAATACATGCATCACAAGATACATGTACATGTATATAAAAATTATACCTTTAATGGATGTTTCCTCAAATTATAATGCCTTTCCTCTTCATTCTTTAGAAGAAAAAGTAAATTAATTTTTTTAAAAAAATCAGTGAATTAATTAACTACAGTAATGTCCACAAACAACATTTGCAATTAAAGAGCATTACAGTTCCATTTATTTTAGAGAGGTTGTATCAACTTCAAGTGACAAATTTCATGTGCCTCTTTACAAACTACCATAACAATATTTGTAGAACAAACTTAACAATATTTTCAATTTCTAAAAATGTTTTTCAACCATACTTAATAAACAGTCTTTCATTTCAGACATAATTTTACAGTGAAGTCTTCAATACCTTGCAGAAGTAGTACATGTATTTAAAAAAAAAAAAAAGGAAAAAAAAATCCTTAAAACTCTCGCCAGTATTTACCTCTAGCTTTTGGTCATGAAAAACAATATAAATCACAGATTTCATTCCTTCCATTATCTTTCTTGTGTTGAAATTAACTTTTTAATAATTACCCAGAAGTTAATTCTGCAAAGTCTGCATTTAAAGTGTTCTGCTTCCTTTATGTCTGCTAAATCTTCTTCAATACAAAATGGCTTAAAATGAAAAGATCTCCTGCATGTGCTGCATTTTATCTGTAAATAGTAAATCAATCCAGTGAAAAATTTCATGAAATACATGTATATACAACAACTAACACCTTCTGTCATTTTTTTTATTAAGCAATTGGACTACTATATTGTTTTTCATGATATATCCTTAAGTTGGTTAAACAGAAATAGTTAATTGCACATATTTTGGGACATGCATGTAGTCATGCACTGTTCATAACAATGAAAGGTTTGCATAAAGAAATATAATAATAGCACTTCCTGAATATTTAATTCTGAAAATACGGAATACATCCATGTTTGTCCAGCACTTACACTTTCATCATCCTCAATGCTTTTTGCACACTTTGGGCAACATCCTTTCAGAAATACTGAAAGAGGAAGAATTAGGACATATACATGCAAAGGCATCTAAGCACAGTGACAGTCAACACTATACAGAAACTTCCAACATCAATGCTGAATTTTCAAAATTTATTTTCCAGAACACACAATAACAAATTTGTTTCCTAGAGGATGAAAAGCTTTGAGCTGGCCCATTTTCTGCCAGTCAGTCAGAGCAACTGAACACATTTTTAAAGAGGGACTCAGTTCAGCAATTTCTTTTTTCTTTTTTTAACTTTAGACTAAAACATAGGTTATCAAAGTTTACGAAGCTCACCTAGACAAATGTTATCAGTATACGTAATGCAAATCTCAAATACCGGTAATATTTTCTTTAAACTTAGTGAGCATCCTGACAACAATATTCATTCACCTTTCTTTAAGGCAGGTTAGATCCAGCACCTGAAGCAAGTGTGGTAATGTCCATCAATAGATGCATCATCCGAGCAAGTTTGGTCCAGGTATGATTTATACTTACTTGGGAGTGGACCTGCTCCTAAAACTTGAACCGGGACGCTGACACTAACACCGACAGTATAGCATAAGCTCATTTCAACTTTGTTGGGGTGAGCTAAAAATGCTATACTACATACATGTATGATTAAATGAAATGAAGGAGAAGTAAATGTGTTTCATATTTACCTTTGCCCTCCATCAATTTCAATGCAACAGCTCTTCTCATATGCTTCAAATCAGCTGATGTTATTGTCCTCAGACATTCTAAATCACCAGATAGATGTTTCTCTGCAAACTGTTATAATCACTTTTCAAATAATTTATCACATGCACAATTTCAATTATCATCTTCCTTACATGTATGAATATAAGAAATTGTGTTTGTATACATTTCAATAGCTGGATTCAATATCAAAAACTTTACAGTATAAAGGCATTTGTGTTATTAAAGTATATAAGTGATTTTCTGTAAAAGTTAGAAAATGATGTGTAATTGGTGTCATATTTGTATTGTATAAGCAGAATTTTTAGCGAGGATTTCATTTTGGCATTAATAGCAAGAGCGCTGAGATGGTTAAAATTGAATATCGCTATAAATTGACTTTTATCAGAAACCTTTGTCATTTTATTTACTTTCTCTCTGTAATCCTTTTCATATTTCCTAATTAGAAAGATATCTTGTAGACTCCATTACATGTATATGTATTATCTCATTTAGAAGAGTTTTGGCAATGTTTGTGATCAGCAATACTATAATTGCTACGTTTTTGAATACACAGCAGAGGAAATTCAGGCGTTCCCAAAACTGTTTGACTGGTGAGTTTCTGTTTTGTTAAAACATACCTTCCAGGGATCGACATTTACGGTCAAGTGATTATAAAAGTTAATGTTTATTTCTGCCTTCCTATTGAAGTATCTCAAGAAGTACGTCAAAGTAAAATGCCAACCATATATATAGGTAAAAAAATTATTAAATGATTGTAACCAATGACAAGTTATATATAAAAAAAAATTTAGATACAGCAGGGTTGAGAAGGTTAATTACTTTTTTTTAAAGATATGTAATATATATATACTTTCAAATACATTGGAAATTTTGTCAATTACTTGCAATTACAATTACACTGATTTTTACAATTGTAATTAATTACTCTCAATTACTTTGAAGAATGTAATTTAATACATTTCAATTACTTTTGTTCCACTTTCAAGAAGCTTGAAGAACAAATACATGTAAATTTAACAAGTGAGGGAAGACAAAAAGAAATAGTTGTAAAATAAATAATGTCAGGTGTCTGGTGTGATGTTGTGTGTGTTTCATGAACATAATGACCTGTGTGTGTATTGTCCTAGTGTGAAAAAATGAGAGAAAAAAAACAATTACAAATTACTTCCAATTACACACGCCAGACACACGAAAAATGTAATTAATTACATCAATTACAATTACTTTTTTGCAATTTTATCCACATATACCTGTTAGTAAGCTTTAATATATAAAAAACAAAAATTATGTGAACTTATAAAACATACATGAAGTCAGATTAAAGATCAAAATATCCATATCAATATATCTAAGCATTTGGCTTTGCAGTTCTTTACATTACACATTCAAGATAGAGATTTTTATGAAAGATTAAACCGAAGTTTTGTCTTATATATTCCCTTGTAAAAATTGGGTCTCCCATGAATTATCATTTGAAGAAATTGAAATCTACACTATTGGGGGATGCATCCATATCAATATAACTAATAATTATAATGGCAAAGTCTATAATTTGCTTTGGAAAACCCCAAATAAGTGTCAGATCAAAAAGTGAAATAGGAGGTGCACAAGAGCATTATGTAATAAAGAATCTGTGAAAGTGTCATTAAAATTTATTCATGTTTTGCCCTGGGAGACCCAAAATAAGTGTCAGATCAAAAAGTAAAATAGGAGGTGCACAATGGCACTATGTAACAAAAATTCTGTGAAAGTCTCATTAAATTTCATTCAGTGGTATAAGAGGAGTTGCGGATAAGAGATAGGTACCCCAAAGCGTAACAGATGGACGGACGTACAGACAGACGGACGGACACCCCGATCACTATATACCCTCCCACTTTTCAAGCGGGGGGTATAATGATTTTGCTGTTAAGATTTGAAAATTTTTTCCCAATACACGTCTTTCTATGTAAAAATGTCAGTGTTAACTAATGAATCATTTACCTCCAGCTGCTCAAAATCTTCCGCATCTCTGTTTTCCTTTCACCACAGGGGTTATAGAAATAGATGATTTCCTTCTGGACTTCAACAATCTAATGACAT